ATGGAGACTGGTTTCAGATGCATCACCCTGCTGGGGCTGTAGAGTAGGAGAATGGATTTCCAGCTCACTCCCTGCCTCCTGATGCTCTTGCAAGTGGGCTGATTAATGTGTCTGCTGGAGAACGAGGGGATTTCAGCATTTGGATGTAAGAATGTGAGATGGGCTGGGCTTTTCTCAAGGTTGCATGGGAAGGAATAGCACAGTCCTGAATATGTGAGCGTTGGTCTGAGCACACTTTGCACTGAAGAAAGTTACCGAGAGCCCAATAGTAACGGCAGCAGATGCAGCTATTGGGAGCAAAAAGCATCAATGATACGGGGCTGTGACACAGTAAGGGACAGTTCCTCCCTGTAAGAATTCATTAGTTTGTACTCAAGTTCAAGTAAAATGTATCTTGCCTGGACTGAGGCCTGTCATACAAATGATCCACATGCTCTCTTAGCTCATGCCACAAATATACTAATCTTAGTGTGATTTGTGACAAAACAACAGAAGTCTTCTTTAAGAAAAAAAACCCAACCAAACCAAAACAAACACAAAAAAACTCACCACAAAACAGTTTGCATGATCTTCTAATAGCTTTAGGTGTCTATTGTCAAGTCAGAAGCTTGGTTTCCAGTGTTACCTGTAAGCCATGATAAAAGGATTGCGCAACATCACACCATGGAGATGCTGTGAAAATTCTCTCTTTTCAGAGCCAGAAATTGTGTTTACAAACAAGGAGAAGGTGCAGAAAGAAGTGAAAGCTGCACTATCAGAAAATGCCACGCTGAGCTGCGAGGTGGCCCAGGAGAAGACCGACGTGAAATGGTACAAGGAGGGGAAACTGATCACCTCGAGCAAGAAGTTCAAGGTGGAGTCGGAGGGCAAATCACGTCGCCTGGTGGTGTGTCAGGTGGAGAAGAAAGATGCTGGGGAGTACACCTGCGAGGCCGCTGGCCAGAAACTGACCTTCAAGATTGATGTCACGGGTGAGACATATCTTGTCTGAATTGCAGTAGGGTTTAATAAAGTAAAAAGTGTAAAAGCTATTGCACAATGACTTGGTTGCAATAGTCGGGCTTTGCTGCACCCTGTAGGGTTCCACTGATTTTCTGTACCTCATTGCCTGGACTTGTAGAAATGAGAATATTTGGCTCTAGCACAGCACAAATGCCTACCTAGTTCTTAGTCTGTCCACATAATAATTGCAGATATGAATATAATAGAAATAATAATCAAAAAGTTATTCAGATCTCTCCCATTTCCGGGATCCCAAAGGTTGATTCTTGTGCACTGAACCTCTTGAAAGAACCATTCAAAAATCCATTTCTTGTTAGGCTTACCCATCCCGTTTCTGAACCCAGAGGCTGGAATATGCTTTTTCATTTGCAATTTCGGCAGCAGTGCAATCATCAAGATGGGTTGAAAACTCAGCACTTTTTCTGAATTTGTGCTGTTGTGTGTTTGACATCTCAGCCTCCTGAGGTGCTTTACTACTTCTGCTGGGTGCTAAACATCCCTTTGTCGTAAAAGATTCCCAGCAATTATTCTTTTGGAACAGGATTCACAAAGCTGCCCAAAAAGCTTTAAACACATGATGCTAAAAGGAGTGTTGACACTGCAAAGAACCTTAGGTACCTTACCAGCCATGATCTTGGCCACCCTGAGCATGATAAAGAGATCCTAGTTCCTTTGTCCCTTTGAAAATCATGTTTGTGACAGTGGAAGAGACCATGAAGAGTCTGTTTCAGAAGCCCATAGTGCTGTGTTTGTGACCTTGGCATTTCGCTGTAGGTCTGAAGTAAATGGAATTTGCGAGCTTTTGGTGTGATGTGCAGGACAAGATGTTCTTTGGGAGCATCTGAATTAAATGTGGTTTTTTTTTTTCCACGGTGGCTTGCAACTGTAGGATTGATGTCAAGGACCCTCTTGGTCCTGTCCATTCCTAGGCTCTTGCTTCCCTACTTTCCACATTGAGATTTGGTCACACAGAAGGGTAGACATTACCCAGTGAAGGCAATCAGTTTTGGCAAGCGGCAACCCGAATCTTTTCCAAATGTCTGCACAGAAACCTGTAAGACGTCTCTCATTTTAATCCCTCAATCAATATTTTCTTCCTTTTCCTCATTCAGAGCCAAAACCAGCATTTATAAACCAGGAAAAGGTCCAGAAGGAGGTGAACGCCATTCTGACAGAAAGTGCCACCCTCAGCTGTGAGGTAGCACAGGACGCAACCGAAGTGAAATGGTACAAGGATGGAAGACTGCTCGTTTCCTCTAGAAAATTCAAAATAGAAACTGTGGGCAAAACCCGGCGCCTGGTTATAGAGCAGCTGGAGAAGAAAGATGGTGGAGAATACACCTGTGAGGCTGCTGGCCAGAAGCTGACCTTCAAGTTGGAACCAACTGGTGAGTACTCACTTTGAGGTGCTAACCAGCAATCTGTGTGCCTTAGAGGAAAATTGGATATTCCCTACTCAGCTGCAGTGCAGCCACCATTTCCCCTGGAGCAACATCAGTGAACCACGTCACATGTTGATTTGGCCTTTTCAATCTAGCGGTGTAGAGGTGGGAAATACAGCTGAAGACTTTTTTTGGCTATGGAACTGCTGTGTGGTTTTTCGCTTATCTCCTTCACACACTGTGGTGGATGGAGATGTTTGACACAGTTGTGATTTAACAGCTATTCAAAATTTGTTACTGATTTAAGGCAGATTATGAGGTTGAATTTTAGCAGCACTAAATCCTTAACTGGTTTAGAGGTTTACAAAGTGAGTGAACAAAATAATTGAACAGTCACTGACTTACAGATTAGAAGATGTCAAGATTCACACTGACTTGCTATAAGCTATCCCAAATCAATACATGTACGTATGAGCAAAAACACATATCTCAGATTAATACATATACTCATGAGCAAAACATATAAGTGCATGCACACACACACACACGGAGAGGTCTATAACTGTTGCGATCAAAGATCCCTTAATATCACATGACTCTAATGAGCGGGCGGGTACTCTTTTAACTCCTACATGTGCACAGACAAATGGAAGAACATCCACCTCCATAAAGCTAACGTATGTTTATCATAAACATATAAGTGAGGAGGTGGATGAAATAGACGAGTCTATAGTTAAAATTTCCCTTTTTCTAGAGTTACTGTAAACAGTCGCATTGCATCGGTGTTCCTCAACGGGTGATAATTGAGGCTCGAGAGGGGTTGTCTTGCCCTGGCTTTCTAGTCCTTGAGGTGTTTGCCCGAGTGGTGTCCCATTTCGGGGGAGGTCCTGGCCGCAGCCCACTGCCATCCAGAAGAGCTCAAAGGGTCTTTCTAGAATCACTACTTATAGGATCTGAGATAATTGACTTCCATCAGGTACTTTTCCACTCTGGCCCAGCTCAGACAATGGAGTATTCCGGTACTTTCCATCAGTTACACAAGCCCAGGACTTGCTAGGACTTGTGGTCCTGGTACCCCTCTCTCTGTGGCCGTGATCCATATGTTGTCAGGAGTGATTGATTATAGTTATTATTTTCTAACGGTAGGAGCCATGGGAACCAGGCACTCTAAGGGGTTGCCGCAGTGTTCTAGTCCATTGCTCTCCACCCGTTCGTTCTTTCATGTTAGACCATTATGTATTGTTCTGGTCATTGTATTATCATGTGGCCCTGGTGGGGAGGAAATAGCGCCAAGTACTGAGAGGTCTCAAGGGGGGTGTGGGGGGAAATTGCACCATCACACACACCCCAACACCCAACCTGTTTCAGTGGTGGGGAGCTGAAGGTAGAAGCGGGAAGTTTTGAGGAGCAGTAAGAGAGCTGTGGAGAAAGGTGACTAAGAAAAGCTGGTCTGCTGCTGTGGGTGCCCCCAAAAATACCAGGTTTTGTGGCAAAGTGCTGTATAAGATAGAGAAGAGGCCAAGAGAAAAGAAGTAGAGCAAAACAGAAAAGAAAACAAGCCATAAATTCAGGTTTAGCACATTAATATTTCTCTTTAATTTGGTCTAAAATACTAAAAATGGTAGAGGAAAGAATTATACAGGTCACTTTCCTTCTAAGAAACAAGGTTTTTGTGGGCAGCAGATAAAATATATATTCGCATTTCCTTTCCTTCTCTTCTAAGCAAAAGCCCTGTGTTACCTGACAGATCACTTTTCTTCCCGCTCAGTAAAAGATTATACCAGGCACAAATATTCAGCCATGTTCCCTGGGTTATTACAGATTATGGATGAGCTGGTATTGGGAGCCGTGAAGAGAGAGCAATAGAAAATTGCTGTGTTAAGGATCTGAGTGTTAAGTTACTAGTTTTCCTATTTTAATGTCTTTCCTAGAACCAGAGGCTAAGTTTGAAAACAAAATTGTCCAGAAAGAGCCTCTCATTGTCCAAGAACACGAAAGCATCACATTGACTACTTCAGTAACGCCTGAAACCGCTGCGGTAAAGTGGTTCAAGGATGGAACAGAAATCAAGGCGAGCAAGAAGTATGAGATCAAGAGTGAGGGGGCATCCAGGACCCTGACGGTGAAGCTGGCTGAGAGCACAGACACGGCCGTGTACACTTGCCAGACAAAGAGCGACAAGCAGGAATTCAAAGTGCAAGTGAAAGGTGAGCAGAAAGCAGCGCATAGGTTGTGTCCCAACTCAACAGCTACATCTCCCTCATAGTATGATGGAGGTGTGGAGTCCAAACTCTCTCTAAAATTGTTCCAACCTCAAGGCTTGAATTGCTGTTGCAGCTGCTGTAGCTGCCCCACCATGGACCAGCAAAGTTCTGCTTCCAAATACCCAATTTTTGTCCTTCACTGGCCACTCAGGGGAGTAAGGAAGCATACGATGGGTGCTTCTCCTGGTGTCTGCTCCCCACTCTCATCCCACTGTTTCTGACTCCTCCTAACCCAGTAGCTGGGGCATGGGCAGAGCCTCAGGTCTTCCCCAGTCTGCTCATCAGCATGACAAAGCCAATGAGGATATAGAGGGATGTTGTGTGAGGAGAAGATTTGTGAGATGACACAAAACTGGGAGGAGTGGCTGACACGCCAGAAGGCTGTGCTGCCTTACAGCGTGACCTCACCAGGCTGGAGAGTTGGGCAGAAAGAAACCTTATGAAGTTCAACAAGGGTAAGTGTAGGGTACTGCACCTGGGGAGGAATAACCCCATGCATCAGTACAGGTTGGGGGCTGACCTCCTGGAGAGCAGCTCTGTGGAGAGGGACCTGGGAGTCCTGGTGGACAACAGGATGACCATGAGCCAGCAATGTGCCCTGGCGGCCAAGAAGGCGAATGGCATCCTGGGGTGCATCAAGAAGAGTGTGGCCAGCAGGTCGAGGGAGGTCATCCTCCCCCTCTACTCTGCCCTGGTGAGGCCGCGTCTGGAGTACTGCATCCAGTTCTGGGCTCCCCAGTTCAAGAAGGACAGGGAACTGTCCTTTGCTGGAGAGGGTCCAGCAAAGGGCAACGAAGATGATTAGGGGATTGGAACATCTCTCCTATGGAGAAAGGCTTAGGGACTTGGGTCTCTTTAGTCTAGAGAAAAGAAGATTGAGGGGGGATCTTATTAATACTTACAAATACTTAATGGGAGGATGCCAGGGGGATGGGAGCAGTCTTTTTTCAGTGGCGCCCAGTGATAGGACGAGGGGTAATGGGCATAAACTTGAACATAGGAAGTTCCATCTTAACATGAGAAGGAACTTCTTTACTTTGAGGGTAGTGGAGCACTGGAACAGGCTGCCCAGAGAGGTGGTGGAGTCTCCCACTCTGGAGACATTCAAAACCCGCCTGGACGCTGTCCTGTGCAACTGCTGTAGGTGACCCTGCTCTGGCAGGGGGGTTGGACTAGATGATCTCCAGAGGTCCCTTCCAACCCTAACCATTCTGTGAATTCTGTGAGTTAGTCACCTGGGGAAACAGGACCTGAATTGTGTCCTCCTCTTTTCCTGCCATGGTGCACCTGGGATGCTGTTCCCTAGTCAAGGCTAAGGCTATAAATTGATAAGAAGGGTGAAGTACAGCTGGTCCACAGATGGAGATGATGGGGTGATATCCCAGAGCAAAGGCCTGCTCCTTTCTCTTCAGACACCCACACCAGAGATGTTTGCAGCTGAGATGCACCCCCTGAGCTCCCTTTGGAGTCGTTGCAGAGGAGCAGCTGCTAATAGGTCAGGGTACATCCAACCTATTGAAATGGCTCCTTCAGGATGAAAGAAAACACAGCCTGGGTTTCTCTGACTTAATTGGCTGTGTCTTCAGTGACAGAAGAGACAAAGGTGGCTTACACATCCATACAGATTTTCATGCTTAGTCAGGCAAATGAGGCTCTGATGTAAAACACCACATGGTCTCATCATGGAAAAGTTGAGAAAGGAAGGAAGGCAATACCCAAACATGTTTTAAGACGCTGTTCTTGTTTTTCAGAATAATAGTGATATTAAAATACCACGTCAAATTTCCACCATTCTGGTTTGTTTCTGTCTACCGTCATCCCCAAATAAGTTCTCGGATTATTTATGTATTTGTTTGTTTGTTTTAAAGTTGTCCAGATCCAGTTTCCTAGAACAGATTTCTTATCTTTTCCTTTCTTACTATTTTTCCTTCTTCTGCCTCTCAGAAATCCCGGTAAAGTTTGCTAAAAAACTTGAAGCTGTTAATGCTGAGATTGGAGGCAGTGTCTCTTTGACTTGTGAGGTGAGCCACGCCAAAGGGAAGGTGGTGTGGCGCAGGAATGGAGTTGAAATCAAGCCCAGCAAGCGTTTCCAGATTCATGAAGAAGGGGTCAATCGAACCCTGACAATAACAGGGATCCGGGCTGAGGATGAGGGAGAGTACTCCTGCGAATCCAGAGATGACAAAAGCAGCATTACCATCACCCCCAAAGGTATGTCACTAATGGTGACAATCTAGAGGGATCCTTGGGTTTTGTCCTCAGCCACAACAACCCTGCAAAGCTGGGTTTGTTCATGTGTTTGTGCTGTCTCCTGTGATGACAAAGACGATACAAAACTCCACTTCCTCTCTCTGAATGTCACCGGAACCTCTGTTTGTGAAGAACATCATGATTTTGAGACCTGTTGAGCTCAGGTCTCTTAATATCTGGGCAAACTTCATCTTCATATTGCATATGAGGCTGGAATTAAGTACGCCAAATCTAAGACAAGATTTTTCCCCCTTCTTTGTTGGCTTCTCTCTTCTGGCATCTTTATACACAAAACTTACTCAGAGATGGGAAAGGTGATATTCCATTATTGTGTTCATTTGCTGTAAGTGATAAAAATTGATGCTTCTCATAAAATTGGTGAATCTTTTGGCTCTTTGAAGGTGCTTATGCCATGTCTCAGAAACACGCTCCTAAATGTTTTATTCCTACCCAACAGCTCCCAGAGTGGTGAAATTCATTACAAGTCTCAACAGTGTGGTCTCTGAGGAAGGAAAAGAGGCTGTGTTCAAGTGCACCGTCTCTCCCAGTGATGCTGTGGTCACTTGGCTCAGGAATGGTGTCAAGATTGAAGCCAGCAAGAAGTATGTGATCTGGCAGAAGGACACTAACCACAGCCTCACCATCACTGATCTGACGCTGGAAGATGCAGCTGAAATCTCTGCCAATGCTGAGGGTGTAGAAAGCACAGCCAATCTCAGAGTCCGAGGTAAGAGGCAATAAAACCCCTTGGACAGGCTGCCACTGGTGCTATGACCTATGTAGTTTTATATGGCTGTGCCTCTCATTGATTGTGGCCCTCCTCTAGACCTGCTCCAACAGGAAAGACATGGGCCTGTTGGAGCGGATCCAGAGGAGGCAACAAAGATGATCAGAGGGGTGGAGCACCTCTGCTGTGAGGACAGGCTGAAAGAATTGGGGTTGTTCAGCCTGGAGAAGAGAAGGCTCCAGGGAGACTTTATAGCCCCTTCCAGTACCTAAAGGGCGCCTACAGGAGAGGTGGGGAGGGACCTTTTACAAGGGCATGTAGTGATGGGACAAGGGGGAATGGCTTCAAACTGGAAGAAGGTAGATTTAGAGTAGATATTAGGAAGAAATTCTTGACTATGAGGGTGGTGGGACACTGGCCCAGGTTGCCCAGAGAAGCTGTGGCTGCCCCATCCCTGTTGGTGTTGAAGGCCAGGTTGGACGGGGCTTGGAGCAACCTGGGCTGGTGGGAGGTGTCCCTGCCCATGGCAGGGGGGTTGGAACTTGATGATCTTCAAGGTCTCTTCCAACTTAAACCATTCTGTGATTCTATGATTGTTAGCAGTAGAGAAATCCTCTTGCATCATTAAATACGGGTGCCCAGAATGCATTGGGACTTGGAGATACATGATCCACCATTTTAATTCTCTCTGAAAGCCTGTTTTCTGCATCCTCTACATTCTTACTAATATTTTTCTCCTTTGGCAGAGGCCTCAATCTCATTTAAGAAGAAACTGGAGCCTAGAACAGTTGAAGAGAGGGACACAGTGACCTTGGAGGTAGAGCTGACCAAGCCTGCAGAGGTGAAGTGGATGAGAAACAGCATCGTATTGAAGCCCAGTGAAAAAATTGACATCAAAGCTGAGGGAACAAAGCACATCTTGGTGGTTAAGGACATCTCCTTTGCAGACAGGGGCTTCTACTGCTGCGAGAGCCCTGATGACAAGACCCAAGCCAAGATCAATGTGGAAAGTAAGTTGAATGATCTCCAGTTCTACTAATACCCTGGACAAGGTTTGAAGGTGGATTCTGATCTTTGCCACTGTCATAGTGGCCACTGTCACCCCCACCTGCCATGGGGACACGGGGACACAACCATGGGCTTGGCCACCTGTCAGATGACTGAGAGGAGATGGAAACAAGGGCAGAAAACAGAGAACAGCTGGCTGATTCCTCTTGCCTCCATCTCATCCCACCAGCTTTCTGTCATGCTGTTGACCATTAAGCTTCTTAGCTGATTCTTCTCCTTCCTCTGAATTTTCCGACTCTGTGGTGCACTCTGTCTTTTTCCTTTGTATGGCTTTTAGCAAACCATTCCCTCTTCAGCCCTAATTCTTCTCTGCAAACCACCTCTTTCAGAATGGCTCTTTATATTCAGTCAGAGTTAAAAAAACTACAAAAGGAAATCTTCAATCTGAGGGTGCTGCCTTTTCAAGTCAGCTAATGGTGTCTCAGCTCTAGTCCTGTACTTCTGTCCTTTTTCCTACATCTTTTTGTTGTGATTGTTACAGGACAGATGAAGACAGGATTTAAGCACTTAAGGACTATCTAATTTTGTCTGTAAAGCCCCTGCCACCAATTGGCGCTGTGTGGGTCGTCAGTAATAGCTAAGGAAGGACTTGATAACAGTCTTCAAGTACATAAAAGGCTGTTTTAAAGTGGAAGGGAACGATTTGTTCTCCATGTGGAGATAACAACAGGAAATAATGGACTTCAATTGCAATGAGAAAGATCCAGGTTATACAATAAAAAAGCTTTTTTAATGGTTGGCTGACTGAATAGGTTGTCTGGAGAGGTTTTGGAGCCTTCATCATGGGTTTAAGAAAAGGTTAGTGAGATATACGTCTGGGATGACGTAAAGAGCTGAGCGTGTCCTAGAGTGGGCGAAAAGGGCGAGGTGATGTTTCTAGGTCTTTCCAGCCCTATAATATTGTGGCCTTCTGATGGTATCAAAGCTACCAAAATTTGATGTCAGACTGATTCATACAGAGCAGGGTTTATCAAATCACTTTCATGCACTGCTAAGACAGCTTCATCTTCAAAATCTTCCTGACTGAAAGTTGTTGAAAATCCACTTGTTTAGTATCCTGATCACTTTTATTGGTGATTGCTCAACCTTTTTTCCAAACTGAAAAGCTCTAGGAAAAAAACAAACAGTACCGGTGACCAGCAGGTGGTAGATGAGGCTTGGATTCATGCAGCCTAAATCCAGCGCATCACTTTCAGCCCCCTCTGTAGCCAACAGAGAGAAAAAGACCTCCGGAGTGTGTTTTAAGTCTTAGATGTGCTGAATTATGTTCTGGAGTGTCTTTCTGAGCATTCAAAGAACCATGGGTGACTATGATCCTGATTTAGAACTTGAGTCAGGGTTACTGTCTCAGTTAAATGGGATTAACTGGGTCCCACAGAAGATAAAGAAATACAGCACTTCTGTGGTCACAACGTTTTGGAAGAATGCAGTACAGTGTGGGGCACTTTGCTGCTCCATCCTCCTTCACACAGTGCACCCCAAAGCATTTTTTTTCACACTCAGAGTGATACCCATTTTGCTTCCAGCAAGATGTTTTGGCACTTGGTTGTAGATTTGTTTACAGCTGTTTTTTTAGGCACCGACTGTTGCTATAGCCAAGCAGTAAAACCAAAAATGATGGAACAGTGTTTATATATGAAGTAATTGGGTAGTCCTGATAGCTGCCAACCATGTTTTTGTGCAAGATGAGTCACCCGAGCATAAATATATATCTGTCTCTGGTTTCTAAGCTTCCTATTCTGATGGAGAGAGGATTTTGGTTCATGCTTTCCAGGCACCCGGCTGCATTCTCGTCACTTACGCTTAGTGTCACTGTAAAAAGCAGCTCCTCCATTGATGAACTGAGATGGTTTCATGCAATAATGGAGAATTGAGGTGATCCAAGGGGGACTGTGATCAAAAAGGGGAATCAGCTCATTGTAGCAGGGAATTCTTTTTGCATAGGATCATCCAAACCTTAATTACAAGATGCAGCAGGAAAGAGAATGTGTGTAAGAATCTCGCTAGTCTATACATATTCTGCATCCGGGTTCTCCAGCTGAGACGGCACCAAGCGCTCGCACCGCTTTACAGCAAAAGCAAGAACCTAAAAGTAGAAGTCTAAAATTGTGCTTCATTTTTTTGGCATGTAAGCAAATGGCCTGTTTTTAGTAGAATGTGTTAGAGCTTACACTGAGGTCAGCAGAAGTTCTTTAAATGCTCATAGTCTGGGGAATTGAGCTAATGTTATTGGGTGCTCAGCTTTCGGCTAAGAAGTCTGATTTCAGAGGACCTGTTTAAAAAAACCACAAGCTGGACTGATACGGTTTGGTTTGAGACCAATAACGTATCTGGCTGAATATCAATTTTCAGTTGCGACCAGGAGAAGGTGTTTGTGGAAGGCTTAAATAAGTCGTAGGTGAAGAGGTTCTTTCTCTGATACAACTCTAAGCTTTCAGCAGGGAAAAGCATAATTAGGACAATTAAATATAGCATGAATTATACTGGGAACACGAGTATGAAATTTCAAATCTCTGGACACAGAATATTGTCTATTAAAATAAATCCTGTAAAAGCTCCACCATTCCCCAGCTGCTGCTGCTTTATGACAATCCCTTTGAAAAAATGATTTTAATTTTTTTTTTTTTTTTCCATCCTACGTACAAGACCAGGTGAGGATATATCCAGGAGGCTACTTCAAATTGCTATGCTATTTAGTTAATGTGTTTGCAAGTCCCTTTTGCTTTCTCCTTGGAATAACTTCAGTTTGATCCTTGCTCCATTTGCTGGTTGAGGGGCTGCAGTGGAAAGGTTAGACAGCAGCAGGTATGCTGTCTTCAGTTTACAGAATGGGGTACCTCATGGGGATAGGGACTGGCTACAAAATCAGATGAGAAATCAGGGACTGATGCAACTTCTAGTGAGCACAGCCAGGAGAGCTCGTGTCTTAATTTGGGAAGCGAGGAACCAAGCTCCTGGAAGTGTCTGTACTTCCCTCGTTTGTCTGGTTCGAGACATGTCCTTGGGGCAAATCTCTGCAGAAGTGGTTGTGACCTTGGGAGAAGAGCACGAGAGAGGAATCAATGTGGTTTCCTTGAGAGGAAACCTGGACAGGATCCTGCAAAGGATGTGTATGCTCCTCTCTAAACCTGCTGTGAGGTGCAACAAGGAACAGGGGGGACAAGAAAGGTGTAAGGCGATGGCATTGCATGGAGTCTGCTGCCGCCCTCCTGGGAAGAACAGTACTGTGCTTCTACCCAGTTTGTTAATAAAGCCATAGTGTATTCGTAGCACCTCTGCGTCAGCTTTGGAGAAATAGTTTGTTCCCTGTTGTCCCCTATGTGGGGTAAGGACGGGTGCCATCAGGAGGTGTTTGAGCCTCACAGAGGCCGTGGTGTCCTCAGCCCAGGAGCTGCGTCCGGACCGTGACCACAGAACAGAGCCCACAGCCCCGCTCCTGGTCAGGTCTGCACTCAGATACTGGTTAAATGTGGATTATCTCTACTAAATACGCACTGGGAAGGTTGAAATATTCCCAGGGGACCCATAGAGTGTTGAAGGGTTTTGTTGAATGATTCATGGATTTGTAGAGGGTTTTTTTGTTATTGTCATTTTTAATTGGCAACTTAATTTCTTTTAAGGGTGAGACAAGTTTAAACACTAAATCCATTTCACTGGCTGATAGATTGGACTTTTGTAGAGGGTTTTTTTGTTATTGTCATTTTTAATTGGCAACTTAATTTCTTTTAAGGGTGAGACAAGTTTAAACACTAAATCCATTTCACTGGCTGATAGGGCACTGACATCTGGTAGTGGGAACAGGTAAAATCCAGCCAAAACACAGATGTTTTGTCTCCCGAGGTGTGAGGTGTCAGCGCACTTCACACCATGTCATGGATTATTTTTTTTTTCCTTTTTACTAAAAGCTTTCTCCTGTCCCTGCTGCTTCCCTCTGTCCCTTGTTTTCTCCTAGTTGAAAAGCTGAACAATATTGTTTATTCGTTTATGCTCTATTTATCTGTATCGGTCATCTTATTTCTCTTGAATCATGCCTGCAGAATAAGTAATTACAGCAATACCTCTCTTGCTGTACCGCACAGGGATCCTGGTCCCAGTGTAAATAACAACAGCATTATCTTCCAGCGTTTCTTCCTGATGGTAACTGGTGACCACCTCACCCTGCCTGTACTGCTGTGTGTCTGTGTACAACTTTGAAGCTTATTTCTGGTATAGACAGTGAACATTAGATCTTGCTAGAAAAAGGACCAGTTTGCCCTTTTTCTGCAATGTTTGGCTGACTTGTTTGTCCCAGCTGAAAGCACCAATTTTAAGAATAGCAGCTGTGCTAGCAGTACAGTCACGGACAGGTTTTATTTCCTGCAAAGGTGGCTGTTTAATTGGCAGATACCAATTAATTGGCAGCTACCTGCATGAGGAATAAGGAAATAATCTATTTTGGAAGTCCTCAGGCTGTTTCATAGCTGTCAGTGTGAGATCTCCAACTTGTCCTTGTTGTTTTTTCAGTGAGGCAGATCAAACTGGTGAAAGGTCTTCAGCCCCTCCAAGTCTCTGAGAAAGGGACTGTCACCTTCGAGGTGGAGGTGTCGCATGAAGATGTGGAAGGGACCTGGCAGAAGGATGGCGTTCGGCTGAAGCCTGCACCGAATATCAGGATTGATGTCCAGGGGAAGAAACATTCACTGACTCTTTCTTCAGTGACTCTTGAAGATGCAGGACTCATCTCCTTCAAAGGAGACGGCATTCACTCATCAGGGAAGCTCACTGTGACAGGTACACAGACCCAGAAGTCTCATGCCCTGGTTGGTGTGGGACGTGGTTGTCTTCTCCTGACCCAGAGAGACAGCTTTTTAAGAGGGCAATGAGCTTTTCTTGTAACTGCAAGGGATGTTATGCACTGGACCGTCATCAGTAACGTATCATTCTAATGTCAACAGGATTACTGTAACTTCATTGTCCACAGAACAAGTAATGATAATGTTCTCAAAACAATACGATTTTGTTGTCACAAGTTTTATTAAGCATGGAAGCTAAGCTCTGCCTGTTCATTATCGATTGTGCCAGATGGTCCTGGAGACCTAATTCCCTACTAACTGGACTTTCTCATTTTTATTTTTCAGAATTGCCTGTGAGAATCAGCAAACCTTTGGCAGACGTCAGTGTAACTCAGAAGGACAAGGTCACATTCGAGTGTGAGCTGTCCAGGCCCAACGTGGATGTTAAGTGGTTCAAGGTACAGCACTTAACAGATAGTGGTATCTTAATTTCTGACTTCTTTGGAAGGGAATAGGAGTCTTTAATTTCACTTCCAGGGGATGCGAGTCTGAGCCTTTGCAGTATAGTTCTCTTGTTCTGTGTTCTTTTACTTGCCCAGTCCATTGCTCTCAGAATTATTTATTTACTGAGTGCATTTATCAGGATGAAAGTTAAATGGATCTTGAGTTTATAGTGAACTCCTGAGCTGCTGTTGTGCAGAACGTGGGCTCTGCTGTTGATACGGGTTCAGTCTTGTGCTGTGCTTCACACCTAGCAGTTCTCACCCAGGACTGGGAACTGTGATTTAAGGTGAAGCCTCAATTCCCTTTGCACCTCGCAGTCACCGATCACAGATCAGCTCAGGCTTTTCATGAACCTTCCTTGGGGCTCAGCTGATACTTCTCTTAAAAGAGGATAATAGCATTTCTTCAAGGTAACGTCTGAAGGGGTTTTTGTTAACCCTGTACAGTGCCTTAAGCCTTCAAATCCCAGACTGGTCAGGGTTGGAAGGGACCTCTGGAGATCATCCAGTCCCACCCCCTACCAGAGCAGGGGCACCTCCAGCAGTGGCACAGGACGGCGTCCAGGAGGGTTTGGAATGGCTCCAGCGTGGGAGACTCCCCCACCTCTCTGGGCAGCCTGTGCCAGTGCTCTGCCACCCTCACAGCAGAGAAGTTCACCCTCAGGTTTAGGTGGAACTCCCTATGCTCAAGCTTGTGCCCATTACCTCTTGTCCTGTCACTGGGTACCACTGAAAAAAGACTGTTCACATCCCGCTGGCACCCTCCCTTGAAGGATTTATAAGCATTGATAAGATCCCCCCTCAGTCTCCTCTTCTCCAGACTAAGAAGCCCCAAGTCCCTCAGCCTTTCCTCATAAGGAAGATGCTCCAGTCCCCTCGTCATCTTCGTAGCCTGTTGCTGGACCCTCTCCAGCAGTTCCCTGTCCTTCCTGAACCGGGCAGCCCAGAACTGGACACAGTGCTCCAGATGTGGCCTCACCAGGGCAGAGCAGAGGGGGAGGATGAGCTCCCTCGACCTGCTGGCCGCACTCTTCTTGATGCCCCCCGGGATGCCATTGGCCTTCTTGGCCACCAGGGCACATTGCTGGCTGGTGGGCATCATGTTGTCTACCAGGACTCCCAGGTCCCTTTCCCCAGAGCTGCTCTCCAGCAGGTCAGCCCCCAACCTGTACTGATGCATGGCATAAAATAGGTGTCTAAGGTCAACTGAAAGTTATGCATATTCTTCAGCCATTTCTACTTCTTGAAAACTTTCCGCTGTGCTCAAGTCTCAGCACATGTTCCAGTAAGCACAGTTCCATTCAGTCCAATGAGGCAGGTGAATGAAGCACAGATCTGGATGTTTGTTTTGCTCGCTGCGGATGTAGAAGCGTTGGTGGTGATCTGGTTTGGCCTTTTCCCTTCTAGGATGGGAAGGAGCTCCGGCAAAGTAAAGCAGTGGGGATTATTTCCCAGGGAAATAAGAGAAGCCTCATTATTCACAAGTGTGAATATGAAGACCAGGGGACCTATACATGTGAAGCAGCTGAAGACAAGACGTCAGCTACCCTAAAGGTTCATGGTATGTTTGCCTGAAGTAGGAAACTACATTTATTGCAGGATTTTTGACTCCATGGCAAGAAATTCTTTGTGGATGGGTTGTGTATTTCTCGATTACTCATTTTGGATAACTTTCTTTTCCTAGTGGGAAAGTGCTAGCAGAGCTGTCCTGTGCTTGCTCTGTCCTTAGAGGAGTATTTTTGGAAGAGGTGCTAACTTGGTTTTCCATTTATCATAAGTGATTTCTGGTCTCTGGAATTTAGATGGCGTTTCTAGGTTTGGAAATTAACAAATAGTGGCCAGCCTGGCACAAAGCAGGGACTCCATGGCTGGTGCTGACATGGTTTGGTTCAGCTTCTGCCATTGTCACAAGGGGACTTTGTCTGAATAGGGACTGGACAAGCCCTGGGTATGATCTCAAGAAGTGCGATTCCTGTTCTGTTGTAAATGGCAAGGAAAGTGTCATGCTTTCTGACTGCATCTCTCCTTTATGCTTAAGACAGTTTTTCCCTCCGTGTGTTGCACTGTGCAACTGGTCAAGCACCAAATGTATTTTGTCACCAGGCTCTGAAGCACCAGAGAGAATCTAGTGCTGAAGGCCAGTTACTGAACGGACAGGGCTGCTGTGCCCTGCCAGATGTTAGTTCCCAGAGGGACATCTGAAAAGACAGATCAGCTCTTTCTTATTGCTGACTAGATGCTGTCCTCATGTGGCCACTTGGGTTCAGCGATATCTTCACGAACATCTATCCTGTTCCATTGCTCTGTTGAACTCCCCTTTTTCTCCCTGACTTTGTGGTTGGGATGGGTTTCTATTTGAATGCTAACTGGTGTGCATCTGAGTTCTGCTCCTGAGGCTAATTAATCCAAGGTGTATCAAGGCCTTCCCTTTCAAAAGGAAAGGGCTGCAGTAGCACAGAGATATGGGTCGGTTCTGATGTAAGTTAGTGCAAAGCTGCAGAGTTAGAGGACTATACTGAGTTCGGGGAACTCTGAAGAAAAGGTATCTCCTAGCTAAAATGTGCCTGAGGTGCCTGTGGCTGGTACAGTCTGAACACACAAGCAAGGGAGTAAGAGGAGACCATGCAGAGAAGCATGTGAATGAGACAGGTTTGTAGTGACACAAGATTGTAGGCTTGTGTTTCGTTTTCCCTGGCAGATTTTCTTTCGGTAATATGTTTAACTTCTTTTAAAACCTGTATGAAGTTCAGCATCCATAAAATCCTCTTGCAGTGAACTACGCTGTAATTCTACCTGTAGGTTCAAGCATGAAATGTATTTACTGTGTCAAAGAGAGAAACTAGCCAGGAAGGGAGGCTCATCTAGAATAAAACACAATCCCATTTTTTCCGTGCAACTATGCAGAAAGTAAATTCACCACACTCGGTTATGGAGAAACCCCAAATCAATATTTGTCTCTATGATTTCGCAGCCCGAGATATCAAGATTGTTAAACCACTGGAAGATGTGGAAGTGAATGAATATGAGAGTGCATCTTTCATCTGTGAGATTTCGCATGATGAGGTCCAAACCCAATGGTACAAAAATGACAACAAGCTGAAGGCTGCCGACAATATTAGAATGCGTCAAGATGGTAGGATGTAGCAGGGGGATCTCGTTCTTGAACGGGTGTGGGTTGGAGGAGGTGGTGGTATGGGAGACTGGGTAGAAGG